TGATTTAAACATGACCTCACATATAGGTTCTGAAGGAAGTACAAAACTGAAAGACACACCTGAATAACTGGCTGTGTTCCTAGGATAGCTTTCTGTTCAGTTGACAACTTATGTACAAGAATCGACCCAATGACGGATGCAGTTCGACACATTGAGTGGTCATTAGAATACCCGATTATACATTCCATTATTAACTGAGCAGCTCGTAAATAATCAAATTTCTGGAAAAAAAGGAAAACTTAACATTGATATAATCTGAAAATGTCTAGAAGTGGCAGCATAGTATCCCTAAGAATGTATGAAAAATATTATACTAATGTTCATTTAACCCGTTAGGAAATCACTATATTTTCTGAATGTGTCCAATGACATTTTGAATCTCTTGATAATCTAACCCATGAACCCATGTCAAATTTCATCATCTTTCAGAATATTTTTTGCCATAATTTTCTCCATACTTATTCACAAATTTTGATCAAGACTTGTAGACAATAGAAAATTAAGTACATTTGGTCCAAAATAACAAAGAAATTTTCAAAAATATGTGAAAATGTTGCACACAAAAGTTTTGTGGCAAAAATGATGTCATTCAATGAGCTAATATACTGGGAAGTATATACAGTCACAACTTTTCCAAATTATTTAAAATTAAGAAGCTTAACATAATTGAAATCACAATATTTTGTAGCAATGAATCTTATTGGTCAGTTTACTAAACTGCTGTTGCACCAATCAGACACAACTTTTGACTTACACACTCATAAAAAAAAAGTTACCCATGGAAGAGATGGATTTTTAGTAAGATACAAAAACATATGAGCAGACGATTCACAATTATACAACCCTGAAAGCAGAAATACACAACTAAAGTTGATCAGATCTGCAGGTAAGTTCTGTAACATGCCTGTCAATTTTTAGCTGTGTATGCAGCAATTATCAAATTAAAACATACTTAAAGTAAAACTCACCACATCTTGCAAAATTCTCTCGTTCCTCAATACCAGCATACAGTTATTTTGAAGCTGAAATATTTTAGAAAAGTCGGTTGATATTGATTACACATATAAACACTTCAAGGCTCCCCAACGCCCAAACTCACACTGTTTTTTTTTTTACACTACGGTAACTATAACTCAGTCATATGTACTGGTTTGGATTATCAAACACAAATATGATTCAATTTTTGTTGTTAAGTCTAAGATTTCAAAAAATATGGCAAAAAAATAATAATATTTTATTGCATCTTTGTGAAATAACAATTTTATCAGTGTACAGCTTATTAATAAAGTGTTAAGATATAAAATAGTTTAAAATGAAAAACAAAAACAGTCAGAAGTGACAATCATCCAGATATTAATATTATCAATCAAAGTGATACACATGTAAGATGACTTATCCCAGATATTGTAATACAATGCACATCAAAGAGGTGCAAACCTTGAATGAAAGAACAGGAAAGTTGGGACTGACACTAAAGGGGAGGGGAAGATTGAGGGCTATGTCGTATAAAGTACAATTCAGCGGTAACAGAATTCTGTGAGCATGAAAATGTTGGATTGGTGAATTTGCAATTTTGAAGATGAGTGAACCAGGCCACAGTGGGTGATTATATGGCGTGGGTTACTCTGTAAAAAAAAAGACAAGGCTATGCGGCCTGTATTGAGTATAATACATGTACATTACAACAGGAATGCATGCTATTTGAACTCGCATGTGATAGGGCTTTATACTAAAATTAGAAAGGAACTTTTAAAACTTTTTCATGAGAACAATTTGGAAAATGTGAAATACCCCAAACGCACACCATAAAACAAGATGTTTTTTGCTCCCAAGAATTTCGTCTCTCTGAGCTGATCTGAGGAATTGAGCATTGGTTTCCCAGTTTCACCGTTGTCTGGCAAAGACTATATTCCAAACTAAGTTTTGTTGAAAGTCATTAACTAGGAATTTGGTTTTCTACAATTCCTACAGTTTATATTTTCTTCAATTCGGCCCCATTTTTAGGTCCGAGGGGGACCCTGTCATTAGAATTGTGGGAGTGAGGATGAAAGGAAGTGCAAGCCAAGGAGCCAATTGTTTTTGATATAATTTCACTTCTTGTGATCTAAAGATAACCTGGCAAAATTCTAAATACTGGCACAATACTCTGAGGTTATCACCCAATACTGGCAATTGGAGGTATCGTAATTTCCATTTCAAACATAACATCAGAACACAGAGATCTGCAGCGTCTGTTTGTTTGTTTGTTCTTTTTGATTGCAAGTTACCATTGTACATAGTTCCGGCTATGACGTTGACGCAGAATAATAGTTACGTTCACCTGAAATATTGTGACATTTACCGCGTCATATCGGCAGTGATATTCTGTGTTAATTAAACATCACGTGATAGAACAATATTTGCCATGTTTGTAAGATAATAATTAGTATCAGCATGTATGCAATCAGTTAAAGTTGTACTTTGATTCAACAAAATTCTTCAATCAAACTCTCTGGAATCCCTCTTCAAATCAATTTATTAAGTGGCACATA